TATATATATATAATATAATATAATATAAAATTGTATATATATAGAATATAAAATTGTGTATCAAAATAATGCCCTTCAAAGTTAAAGAAATAGTTAAGAAGAAAGTATGCAAAATCTAGTCTCTTTCCAACCCTAGGCTTTCTCCAATATCTCGTGTATTCATTCAGTGCCTAATATCTCAAGGAATTTTGTGTGTGTAGAAATGTATGATTTCAAGATTTCATTCTCAGTGCAGGGTTATCAACTTTTTCAAGCAGCAATTGCCTAAATGCAGTTTCACCCAATGTCACAACCCCATTTATTTAAAAAAAAAAAAAAACTTTAAAAACTTAAAAATGGCCAAGATGACAAGATTTCAGAAGACTTAAGCTGTCTCATGAGATCTGGGCCATTTTTATCTAATTTTGGAGGTCCATCTAGTGGTAACAAGTGACATGACCCCCAAAGATAGAACTGCTGATCTCTTATCTACTAGATAGGCATACAGTAATTTGTAGAACGTGGTGGTGGTGGTATATATATTACAGATAACAGGATTTTGTTTACTGAAAGCCATAAACTCCAATTAATATGTAATCCATTACATTGTTTTCATTTTTCCTGGTTAAACATCCAGCAGCATCATGTGCTTTATTTCAAACCACAGTTTTCTCCTCTCCGTAAAAATTGGCAGGATGAATAAATACCAAGCCCAGTTTCATTTTATTAATCAAAGAAGGATAATTTTAATATTATCCTCATATTATTATTTCTATATCCAAGAAAAAGGAAAGCTGTTTCTTGCCATTTTTCATGGTTTTGAAAAATGAGCAGTGTTACAACATTTAGAGCTATGAAGCCCTTTGGATTCAGTCTCCACAAACCCTTGAAAATGCACAGGAATGTGAACACAACCTCTCTCTGCAACATTTTAAAGAAGCTGCACGTTTTTCTGGATTGTGCACACCTGCAAAGGGCAGCCCAGCGAGCTAAGGGGAAAGGGCATCTGTTTTAAGCTAACATGCTGACACTCCCAAGCGCTTCTGAAGATCCAAGAGCTACACTGTTCAACAGCACTGTCGAAAGAGAGGGGAATTTTGGTGTAGCTCTGGAGAAGAGTTGCCAGTTTATCACACCTAACCATTTATATATCTCACACTTTCTTTGATTGAACTGCATCATTGTTGATATGATTTTTCTCTCAGCAGTTCCTTAGAAAAATCCTGCTTTTAGCTTGCTTGCTTGTTTGTTTGTTAAAACAATTTATATAACAATTTATATAGTGACTCTGGGTGGCTCACAATTAAAACCCACAAACAGTTAAAAAATAAATGCCCCCATTAGTTAATTAAAATTAATTAATTAATTAATTAAAAAAGGCTGGAAAAACAAATCCTATACATAAAAACTAAAAACATTCAAGATGACAGGGGAGTAAAATCAATTACCCCACAAGCCACTTCCACTAGTGTGAGCTCCCATCCGGCCCCCAGGCCATCTGGCATAGCCAAGATTTCACACTCTTACTGAAGCCCATGAGAGTGGGGCACACCGCACCTCGGCTGGTAGGTTGTTCCACAGAGCGGGGGTCATGGCAGAAAAGGCCCTCTTCCTAGATCCCACCAGCTGAAATTCCTTGACTGGTGAGGTCTGCAACATGCCCCTTCTGCCGGACCAAGTAGGATGGGCTGATATAACAGGGGCAAGACGGCTCCTCAGATAACCTGGTCCTGTGCCATAAAGAGCTTTAAAGGTGATGACAAACACCTTGAATTGGACCCAGAAGCAAATTGGCAACCAATGCAGCTCACGTAACAGTGGTGTTATATGGACCCCCCTGGGGGCATTCAGAACTGTCTGCACTACTGCATTCTGTGCCAGCTGTAGCTTCCGGATACTCTTCAAGGGTAGCCCCATGTAGAGTGCATTGCAGTAATTCATCTGGGAGGTGATCAGGGCATGAGTGACTGTGTGGAGGGCCTCCCGTGAGGAAAGATGCCATGGATGTGAAAATGGATTAAAAAATGCTTGACTACAAGGAAAAAGGAGTTGTAATGGATAAACGAACTTTCCTGGTTGATGTTTTAATAATTAAAGGGGATATCCAGATCATAAATCAGAAGAGTGACTTTGAGAATTATTTTACTTTGGATCCACAGAAGGGAAATACTAAATCTCTGAAGTTGTTTCTGAAAACAGACAGGGAGAAAATGATAAGAGATTATTATCTGGGACCTTATTTGAAGAAGCGATTGAATTTGAAGATTGAGCCTCTTAAAAAGAAGACAAAGGAGTTCAAAGTGTACTTATTGGATCAGGGTTAAACTGTGTAAGTTCTGATTTTGAGTTGTTATTATTGGAATCTTTTTTTTTTCCTGACCAGGATTGTAAAACATTGATTTACAGATGTAAAGGGAATTTATGTGACTTAGTTTAAAATATACATGTTATTATGATTGGTATTCCTTAGACCTAAAGGGATAGATCTTTTATGTTTTACTTATAGAAAAAGTTATGTTAAAATGCAAAATAGATTTATTTGTCTAAGCTTAAAATATATAGTTTACTATTACTGGTACTCTTAATGCTTTTGCTGAATAAGATTAATTGATGGATTTTTTTTATAATTTGGCTATTGTTTAGGGATGAGAAATGGGAAGAAGAGGGTTTTTTTCTGTAATTTTAGAGAAGGTGTTACGTTACTGTAAATGTTTATACTTGTTTTGAGGGAGGGGAAGTCACTTTTTATATGTCTTTTTCTTTCTTTCTTTTCTCTTAATATTTCTCTTTTTCTTTTTTGTTTGTACATCTTTTTAGTTTTGTATTAGTTTTTGTATATGTAAAACTTCAATAAAAATATTATAAAAGGAAAAAATGAATGTCAAATATCAGAGAGTTATTTCATGGTTCCAACTGAATATTCTTCCATCACCAGTTCTTGAAAGTATTCCTATGCAGGAAGATTCTGTCCATGTGGCTCAGGGACCATTGAATCCTTGTCTCACACCCAACTTCCGTAGAGATTTCAGAAACTCTTTATTGGAACCCTTACTTCAGCTATTCCCTGGGCACTCAGATGAATTCTATCTGATATTTCATATTTCATATGACATAAAAGAACATACATGGTTGCTAAATTTGCATTACTAGCATTTGCAACCCAGGCCTATGGAGTTAAGGCACAGATGAGCTAAGGAAAGATGAACAGCGCAACAATCTCGCATTTTTTTCTCTTCTTTTACTCTCCTAATTCTTAATAATTTAATATTTGGTTTATTAAGTAGGTTAGATAAAGGCTATATCTATGATACCTGTATTACTTTTTACATTCTTTTTTCTCTTTAATGTATTAGAAATGTTATTAAATGTTATTAAAAATGTGACTTTAGACATTTTTTGGATTAATACTACACTATTCTGTGCATGAAAATGTATGGCACTTTTATTTCCCAAGTTTCAATAAAAAGCCAATAAGAAGACTTGAGATGAGACTTCTTTAAGATAACAGATGTATTTTGATCAAGACACAGCTGGGTGACTCCAATCAACACCCATTAGAAAGGAATGTTGAAGGAATCACACCTCACAAAACAAACATCAGAGCCTTTATAGACATTTAAATCTGTAATCAGATAGTACATCCCCTC